GAGTGAGAGAGGGTGGGTTGGGGTAGGAGGAAAAATGACCTGAAACCAAGGGCTTAAGTAGAAAGAAATGTTTTGGAAATGATGTGGTAACATATGTACAGATGTGCTTGACATGATGGATGGATGCATGGATTGTGATAAGAGCTGTACGAGCCCCCAATAAAATGATTTTTTAAAAAAATGTTGTTTTGAAGTTTGATTACCGAATGTATTTTAGGTATCTTATTTTTGACTCTGATGCTTTCTTCTTTATAGTCTTTATATGTCTACCTTATTTTGTGTGGATCAAAGCTGTCTTCATGGGCCTTGTATGTGTGGTATATAGTTTCTCCAACTCTGAAAGTTTGGAGAATCCAGGCCTGACAACTCTAGTGTCTTAATCTATGTAGTTCGCTGCCTGCCATCCTGGTTCCCCACCGCAATTTTTGTCCATTTTAGTCTTGTCTCCTGATATGCTTGATGGTTCTTAACAGATTTAATGAATTTTGAACACCTATGCATGAAGAATTTTAGGGAAAATTTCCATGTGGCTATGGATTTTTTCTCTGAAGTATTTACTTTTGGCTTCTTGTGGGCACTTAATGTTTGAGCTCCTGTCACCGCTGGCCTCAGACTTCTATTTCTAGTGTGCCTCCTCTGCTGGGAGACAGCTCATCGGGGTTCCCATCTGAAAGGCCAGGCTTTCTAAGACTCTTCTTTGCCCATGGGCCCCTGCACTCTGCATTTGCTGCATCTAGTGCGAGAAGATTAGCAGTTCTCTCAGCCTCACAGCCTTCCAGGTTGTCACTTTATGCTCAGTTCTTCTGCCCCTCAGTCCTGCCCTTTACATTGACACAGGCCTCAAGGGGGAACAACAACAACAAAGCAAAACCCCCAAATCTACTGCCATTGAGTCGATGTTGACCATATAGGGTTTCCAAGGCTGTAAATCTTCATGGGGCTAATCATCTCATCTTTCTCTCAACGAGTGAGTCATGGATTTGAACTGCCAACCTTGTGGTTAGTTGTCCATTGCTAATACTGAACAATGCTATAAGGGTTAGAATGACCTCCTTCCTGTGCTTCTCTTTAAGTTCTCACTGTCTTGGTAACTTTCGATGTCCCCAAACCCCCAGTAAGAAGATTGGTTTGTAACGAGCTAATACACCATTGTTGGAATCTTCTTTATATTTCATAGAGTATTCAGATATTGGGATGGATACATGCAGCATGCTTTATTTGCATTACTGATACTTTGTGTTGATTATATGTTAAAAAGATCTGTGAAGCCACACAAACAACTATCTTACAAAACATTAATGCATGATTGTTTATAAAGTAATATTGAAGAAAGCATGCAGCTACCATATATACTCGAGTATAAGCCAATCTGAATATCAGCCGAGGCACCTAATTTTACTACAAAAACTGCATGAAAAATGTGCTGTCGAGCTCGCCCTGTGGCCCCGTGGATCGGTGCCTCGCTTCAACAGTGTTTGAACGCAACAGATCCGTGGACTCCCTGCCTGCGACCTTTGTCCTCTCTCCACTTTCCTTTCCGGGAGTGTCACCTTCAGGACCATCCTCTTGGCCGTCCCCTCTTATTGGGACCAGAGAACACTTTTATTTTGTGTGTGGCCACCTCCAAACCGACCCATCGTGAGCTCTCAGGTCCGTCAGAATGATTCCGCCGAAGTTGAGGCCAGCGTCCACCGTCTGGTCAGCCTGCCTCTGCAGGCCTCTCTCTGGGCCTTAAAGGCATGGGACCCTTCTTCCCGGAGCTGGCGAAGGAGAAGGGGCAAGGGACCGAGCAGAAGGCCCTCAGGATGAGTGGGGCAGAGCCTGGATGCCACAGAAGCCGCGCTGGCCTGTAGAAGACCCTGAACCAGGCCCTTATGGACCTACATGCCGGGGACGGGGGGTGAGGGGTGGGGGTGGGGGGTGGTGTCATGGTCCACTCACACGACCCCCACCTCGGTGACTTTCTGGGGAACTGCTTTCAGAACGAGGAGGCGACCACCTGGCCAACACCCCCAGGCTGGCCAGCCCCAAGGGCGGCCGGGCGAGGATCTCTTGGAGAGGCCCACCCTCAAACACCACAGGGGCCTGCGGCGCCCACCCACCAGCGAGGGGCCCTCTGCCTATCCCCCCCACCGCCCACCCGGCCCGCCAAGCAGCGCCACCGAGCCCCTCCCCCGAGCCGGGGACCAAGTGGAAACAATAGCGCTTCCTTTTGCAGCATCCAAAAAAGGGCTGAAAAACTCGGCTCATACACGAGTATATACGGTACTTAGCCAATTAAAAACCAAACCTGATTTAATATTCCCATTTATTATTAGTTTCTTATGTAATTTAGCCACCCATTTCTCATTTCTCCCTACTTTTCTTCTAGATTGTTTTATTCCACTAGACTTCCAAACAACTCTGTCCATAAGAGACAGTAACTCTGTATAATCATATTGCTACAAAACCTTCTGGGTGGTTTGTAATTTTTGTCATACAGAAGATCTGAATCTTTATGGTTTTTGAATATATCTTCCCCACTCTAAAGTTTTAAAGAAATTCAGCCTTGCGTTCTTATTGTCTATCATGGTGTTCTTCTAACGTCTTTGTTCCGGATGGCATATGCTTTTAAAGGAGCTTTGTTGTCCACCAAACTAGCCAGTGGCTTCAGCACTGTAAAACAACCCCTGCACATCTTAGGACATAGTACGTGTTCGTTTCTGAGCTCTGGCCTGCTCACGTAGCTTGTGACAGTTCTAGCCATCACTGTATGAGCCCTCGTTGTGCAAGGGTCAGGCACTTGGCTGCTCGCCAGATCACTGGTGGTGGTTCTAGGCCACCCTTTGCTCCCAGGAGGAAAAGGCATGGTGGTCAGCCGGTGAACCCTGGCTGGGCGACGTGGGTGGGTGGGGATCCTAAGCTGTCTGATAGGATCGTTGTGTTGGAAGCACAGAACAATATCCATCTTGTTTTTCCAAATGATTATAATAATTTGAGCGTGCTAAAAAAAAACCTTTTGGGATTTAGATTGTATTGAACTTTTAGGTTTATATACAGATATATAGGTTTTAGGTTTATATATGTATAATAGTATCTTTCATGTCTTGAGTCCAGGGCATGTTTGTTTAGTTTCCCTTGGTAAATTTGGTTTTGAAAATAGGTTTTAAAAAAAAGCCATTTAGTCTGAGTTCGTTCCTACCTAGAAATTTGTGTATACTACTTTTATGAGTAGGTTATTCTATTTTTTTCTAACTGGATTTCCTTGGAAGATGAGATTTTCTATGTAAACTTTGTAGCCTCTCTGAACCCTTTTATTGTTTCTATTTATTTCCAGCTGATTCCGCTGAGTGTTCTAGCTATGTTAATGTTTCTTCCAAATAATTAGATACTTTGTAATTTATTCTCCTTTCTAATCGCAATGGGTACCCTTTCTAAAGCAAACCAAACCAAACAAAGACAGTGGCATTAGTTTATATATTTAAGCATAATCCTGGCTGTCATTTAGATAGATGAGAATATAGGCATATATAGTTCATCTTTTTTATAGAGAAAAACTTGGTTCCTTTCACCAGCTTCTTTATATATTTTTTCTACTTTATAAAATAAATTGGATGACTGGGGTTTTCTTTCTTCCATTGCTTTACAATGAAGATATTTAAAGTTTTTTTTTAGATAGAAAGTTTAGTTTTCTCTTGTGGGATGATTAATAATTGTTTGTGATTTTCTATATTCTAATGCTACAACTCAAGTTTGGATTTCTTCTGATCAAAATGCCGTGGAAGAGAACTTTCCCATTTTCAAATATTTAAGTTTTTACCTTTATGATTAATTTGTTTACTTGCATTATCACCAACAAATAATTGTTTGTATCATTGTGACATTTTAGAATTTTTAAAGTTTTTTTATGGCTTTATTATAGTCCTTTAAAAATTAATGTTGCATGAGAATAAAGCACATATGTACCTTGTCACAATATATGTATGATCACATAAACATATCTACATATACGTAAAAGGCAACCTTGTTAATTATATTAGCTTGACTCTTTATATTACTAGTTATGAGAGATCGAATGGGGTAGCCAATGAATGAGAATTTTATCCCTCCCAATGACAAAAATGGTTCTTCTCAATACTGTTGCCTTTAATTTTTTCAGATTTTATATTGTGAGCTGTGTGTTTTGAAAACGATGGTAGGTCTTTGTCCACTTCTTTGTTTTAATTCTGTAGTTCTCTCCGCAGCCACCATTCATTTAAGAGTAAAGAGTAGAATCTATGGTTAAATCACCCAAGAGGTATCACAGGAGGCCCTAGATCTGAGGTTTGCAACATACATAAGATTTGAATGGCTAGGGGTAGGTGGGTCTTCTAGATAAGACCAAAGACTTAGAACAAACAAACAAAGAATGCTGATAGGATGAGGTGTAGAGTATATGTGGGATAATCTTGCATGTCCATAGTCTCATATTCCCTTGTTCCATCAGCTCAGAGGAGTACAATAACTTGATCTAATGCACATTCTTTGAGCTTTACTTTGCATTCGGCGTACTTGTTAGATGCTCGGTGGAATTGGTGGAGGTGGAGAAGCTCTCCTCCAGGCGGTGTTTTCAGTCTGTGAGATTGTTAGGACTGACTTCCCTCGCTTTTCACCTTACCTATCCCGAAACACCCCCTGCCTCCCACTCAGTAGGTTTTCCCCGTGTACATTAAGGAGGTGAGATGAAAACGTACCACGCATGAGCAGGTGACTGTCAACTGCTCTCTACTGTATAGGTGTCCCTCAAGAAGCCAGCGGAGCGCGAATGAAACAGTGCATTCACTTGCCCCCCGTATTTTAGAACACCTCCAGTACACAGACTGGTGTGAAGATGTGGGCGCCACAACCTTCTCTTGAGTGGCACCGTTGACTTTGGGGAAGTTAGCCCTTCAGCAGTGGTCCTCCTGGAGGGGCAGGGACATTTTCCAGAGCCCAGGATTTTGTGACTTTTACAGAAAACAGTTTTTTGTTTTTACTCCTAGGGGACTCCTTCTCCCAGTTCCGGTTTGCTGAGGAGAAAGAATGGGATGGTGAAGCTTCAAGCCCCAAACAGGTAAAATGAAAGTTAGCCGTGAACGTTGACAAGGCCCCCTTCAAGGCTCACACCTCTTACTTTCTGATGAGATAGCTCACGCATGGAAACGAACCTGATAATGCACGTACAGTTTGCCCTCAGTCACCTAACCTGTCTGGAACATGTTCACGGGGCTGCAGTGATGCAGCATTCACATGTATACTTTTATATTTGTGTGAAGAACTCACGCAAACTCAATAGCAAGGGGAAAATTTACCGCTAGGATTTTGCGTGGATCACTTTGCTGGTTGACACTCTCTGTTTGGCTACCCTGTTAACACCTCCCTTGAAAGTTGAAAATCCCGCCCCCCCCCATTGTTTGTGGTGTTACCTGAAAAAAGACTTAATCCTCTTTATAAGATTTAAGCACCTCTCCTTCAATTGGGAGAATAAAGGTGTAAAATGAGGACAAACTCCACAAAAGCCCTCCAGTGAGTCCATACACTCCAGTTTGCTTTGTGTATATTCAATCTTGTCTTCACATGGTGTTCTCATTATTTTCCAAAAAGAGTTTCAGGGACATTTACCATATACGATATGAAGGTATACATACATATATATATTTTAAAAATTTTATTGGGGGCTCGTACAACTCATCACAATCCATCCATACATACATAGTGTCAAGAACACTTGTACATTTGTTGCCATCATCATTCTCAAAACATATTCTGTCTACTTGAACCCTTGGTATCAGCTCCTCATTTTTTCCCCTCCCTCCCCCACCATGAACCCTTGATAATTTAAAATTATTATTTTGTCATGTCTCAAACTGTCCGACGTCTCCCTTCACCCACTTTTCTGTTGTCCTTCCTCCAGGGAGGGGGTGATATATAGATCCTTGTAATTGGTTCACCCTTTTTACCCCACCTTCCCTCCACCCTCCCGGTATTGCTACTCTCACCACTGGTGAAGGTATATATATTTCTAATGTGTGATAAAAATCCCATTTTTATTATTTTATAAAAAGTTGCACAATGATTATTTGAAAGCTCATGTGAACTCATTTTAGTTTTTTGACAGTTTTATTGATATATAATTCACATATCTTAAAAGCCAATAGTTTAATCATTAAAAAGAATTATGCTTTTATCACCATAGTTTTAGAACATTTTCTTTGTTCTTTGTTCTTGTACTCATTGTTATTAGCTTCTCGCTTTCCCTTAGTTTCCCCTGCCATACCCCTCAGAAACTGTTAGTCCAGCTACCATCTTTATAGATTAACCTAGCCTGGATTTCATATACAGAAAAACATACAAAACAAAACAAATAAGCCAACCACAATAACAATATCAAGAAAAACCTCATTTGAAAAGAGCAGAAAATATTGAAAACTAAAACAGATTTAAAATGGTCAAAAGGAGATCAAATGGTAAAGTGTTAAATTTTAACCTAACAACATCTGCAACAGTCCTCTTACCAGTGCACACTGTCTGATAGCAAGGCTACTCACATCATGGTCAGTGGTCAGAGGGGTTCTTCAGACACTTAGTGCGCACATGTAGGGCCCCTTCAAGTGGGTTTTGGGCTTCCACTATGATCCATAGCTTTCAGCAAACCAGGTGCTCTGATAGCATAACATCCTCCAGTCTTAAGATTTTTGTTTTTTACAATCCTTGGATCACACAGGTTAGTGTGCTTGCTTCCCTGTGGACTAAGCTGACATTCCAATGAGTTGGTTGCTTGTTTTAAGGCAAGCCTATAAAACCTGAACCTTATTCTTTCTGATAGCAGGGCACCATCTGACTTCTTTATCACACTTTGCTATAGCACCCATATCTTCAGTGATATATCTTCATGAGGGTGAGTATCGGGTAGGGCCACAGACTGGAAGGTGTTATGACCATGTAAGATGAATGAAGAATAGTGGTAACTTGTGATGTGTGTGTGTGGGTGTAAATCAAACCATTTGCTATCAAGTTAATTATGATTCATGGTGAGCCCATGAATGTCAGAGTAGTTTTCAGTGCTGATTCTTCTGAAGTTCATTGCCAGGGTTTTCTCCCAAAGCACCTGACTGTTGACTGGAACCTCCAGCCTGCTGGCTGTCGACAGGTGTGTTAACTGTGTGCACCACCTAGGGATTTCATGTCCCTCACCTACTGCCTGTCAAATGACTAGAGAGAGACTCTGCCCCCAACTTCCGGGAAGTGACTGAGCAACAGACCAGAAAAGTATGGCACTCCCTCTCCGTTCTGCTCTGAATTCAGTAGATGTGTTGCAAGAGGCCCCTTTTACCTCTGGGGGCTGACTCTGCGTTTAATTGTTCAGGAAGGACATTGGTTTATCATACACACCACAGGTAGGGAGATTGCTTTGTAAAATTGACTGCCTCATGCTTTACAAAGGGTTTGTTGATGTGATGTAGAAAAAAATTGGGAATTAGAAAAATTTGCCAGAAAAGACATTTGCTTGAAATGCGGTGTAGAATTCTAGGACAAGTTGAATGTAGATAAACTGAAGAAAAAAGTGAAAGTCAAACAACTTGTATTTCACCTTAGATCCAGTAGTAGACTTTTTGATAGACCATCATTCCCTTATGGAACCAGAAATTTTCCTTTCTTCCCATGGGGCAATGGGGGGCACATAGGAGGAGGGAGCTGATGAGAGAACTTGAGTTAAAAAAAAAAAAAACCACACTCAGCTGAAGCTCTTTTGGTCCATTTGTCATTTTTGCTGAGAAAGTAACTTCTCTCATTAGACCTTCCCAATGCCTGGGCATGACAGGCAGTGGTTTCTGAATGGCTGGCGTTTGAAGCGCACACTCTCAGGCCCCACAGAGATGTAGCTCTGTGAGTCAGACCTGGGAATCTCTTGAGAGGCTGCTGGGCTGATTCCAAGGTGCTGTCAAGTTTGGGTACCTTTGCTCTAAAGCGTCTGTGGGTTGGGGGGGGCGGGGTCCCAAATGCGTACGGTCGAGCACTGTGACTTCTCAGGAACCTGCACAAGTCTCAGTAACGGTTGCTTTTTTTCCTGCAAAGTGGAGTTTACAGGGGTTCTAACCTCACTGGAGACTGAACACTAGGGTCTGAGTGTTGAGAGTCTGATCTAGCCAGAGAGGAACACGGAAGACAGAGTCTTGGCCCTCAGCCAGGGTTTAGTGCACACTGATGACAGATGACAGAGGTGGAGGGCTTTGCTCCAATGGTCATGGCTGATGTCTTGCTCGCAGCCATCAGGTACCCATGTTCTTTCTGCACCTTGACACTCCCCTCCCCCACTGTCTCTCCCACAGGTGTTGGCTGGCTCCTATGTGTTAGTGTTGCAAGCCAGTCCACCTTCTCCAGTTGACTGGCCGTGTGGATATAAGGGCTCCAAATAACCTTCCATTGATAATAAATAGCTATGTGAGTGATAAGGTCAAAAGCTAAGTCATGGTTATTATTCAAATTACACCTGTTCAGCTAGCTCTTTTTTTTTCTTTCTCTAATCCTGTAGGGGACAAAATGGGCAAATTATCTTTCTTCCTGCCTTGGCCCAAGTTTATGAAAAAGTTGAATTTGTGTGGCAGGTTCTGGGCAGGAAGAGCCCGGTGTGGCTTGAGGTGTCATGGAGGCAGTGCGATGTGTCCGCCCTTGAGTGGGCATTGACAATGTGCCATTAGGAAGGTCCGCGAACAGAACGAAACCAGAGCGTGGTTTATAAACAGCCATTCCGTGTATCCTTCGGCAGTCTTAGAAACTTTTCCTTGTGGACACTGTGAAGGTAGTGTTCATTGTACTGATCTGTAATTTTCTGGCTCGTCATGTTGAATGTGATGCAAAAGAGGGCCGAGAAGGTGTGGACGCTTGTACCCCAGCACTGCTCAGTGGGATCTTCTGGAACTGTGAGTGGCTAGCGGGGATCACAGGGCTGAAGTTCTCACCTTTACAGGGTGGGTAGTCATAGTGTAGTTTTGCAAACACCTTGGAGGGGAGTTGTGGGAAAGGTGTGACTTCCTGTGTATTGCAGCCATCTCCCCCATGAATTGAACAGTAACTAGCAGCACAACTTCCTAGCGAGTTAGGGAGAATTTTTCCAAACTTAAAACAACCAAGAAGTGGACTTGCCGATGTTGATCACAGCCCTCAGTGATCTGCGTTCAGGACTGATTAATGACATGAGAACGCTTCCCACTTTTCCATCAGAGTTTTTACATTTTACTTTCTATCCTGTTCATAAATAACTTAAACCAACACCACCCCTTACACAGTATTTCTTAAATGTAAGTTCCATTTTCCAGCCTAAAGGAAAACATTGGTGCTGCAAGACTGCTTTCCCCTAAGAGCGAGCTAGCTAGGTACAATTTCAGAATGGGAGTGGGAGCTCATTCCTTCATTCCGTGTGCACTCCTGTGTGGTTAGGGTAGATCTGGACTCAGGAGCGGAGCCCGATGGGATGGCTCTCCACTGAGAGTCCATATGAATCTATCAGAAATACTCCTTCTCAGAGATTAGACAACTACTGGGTTTCCCTCTTCCTTGCAGTCTGTGGTCCTTGCTGGGCCTTGGTAGACATTAGGTAGGGCTCGCCTCTTGTATGTGAGGTCATTGTGACTACCTTTTATTTTCGCTTTCTTTTCCTGATGCTTTCTCTTGGGTGGCCAGGGCACCCAGGAGAAACTGTTCAGGGACTATGAGGTAATCTGGCCTGGGTTTCGAAATGGTATCAGTTTGTGAGGTCCACGTGTTGATATGACTCTATTTTTATGAGTGGGGAAGGTGTCAAAGGAAGCTTACCATTGTCCCGACACACAGTCCTCCTGGGTAGAGATCAAGAAACTCCCCTTAACTTTGCTTTCAATTAGAAGAGGAGCCGACCTCAGCAGCTCCTTTGGCTATGCCTGTCAGCCTCTACTTCCTGCTGAGAAAGCTCTTCCCACCTCTTGGCAAGGCCAGCATGCAGGAGGGAGGGAGAGAGGGAGGAGGAGGAGGAGGCGTCTATTCAGATTCCATTAAATGCGTATATTGTCTTGTAACCTGCCAACAATCCCACGAGCCTCCAGTTGACGGGTCAGTAGCATCTCCTGCGCAGCCCGCATGTGAGGGGTGCCTGGACACGGCTGCTTTTTTGCAAGGTGAGGTAGTTTTAGACAAGGGAACAACAAGTGATCCAAATCGGCCGTGAGGAGGGTGTAGGAGGCCTAGTTGGGCGTGATCAAAGGTAATGTAACCAAGAGAAATTACTGAAACCCAAATGAAGGCTGA